AGGTGCCATTCTCTGACAGACCGTCCTCATCTACTTCTCCCCCCGCTCCTCCTTTTCCTGCTTCCCCTCGTCTACTTTCTCTTCTTTCCAACTCCTCCTCGTTCCTCCTCCCATACCCCCTTTCCTCCTCCTCCTCATCTTCCTCGTCCCCTACCCCATTTTTCTCTCCTCCTCCTCCTCCTCCTCCTCCTCCTCCTCCTCCTCCTCCTCCTCCCCTACGCCTTTCCTCCTCCTCCTCCGCCTCCTCCTCCTCCTCCTCCTCTGCCTCCTCCCCCCCCTTTCCTCATCGTCATCCTGCGGCAGGCGTGGCTGGACGCAGACGGCGGCGGGGTGGTCGAGCTGGACAAGCTCTGCCGGGGGTTGGAGTCCGCCTGGGGCCCCGCGCAGGCACCGCGGACCACCGAGAAGCTCGCCGACGTCTGCGTCGGCGGTGTCGGAAGTCGGGGGAAGGAGAAGGAGGAGGAGGAGTAGGAGTAGGAGTAGGAGGAGGAGGAGGAGGAGGAGGAGGAGGGGAGGAGGAGGAGGAGGAGAGGGAGGAGGAGGAGGAGGAGGAGGAGGAGGAGACGAACGGAGGAAGGGGGGGAGGGAGGCAGATAAGAAAGAGGAGGTGGATACGGTACATGAGAGGAGCAGGAGGAGGCGGAGGAGGAGGAGGAGGATAATTAGGAGGAGACGGAGGAGGATGAGACGGAGCATGATGATGATGACGAGGAGGAGGAGGAGGAGGAGGAGCAGGAGCAGGAGCAGGAGCAGGATGAGGATGAGGATGAGGACCAGTGGAAACCCAAGAGCCATCAACGATGTTGGAATTAACCCTCCCTCCATGCTCCCTCTTCATCGGCCCCTACAACGGTTCATTTCCATTGAGGGAACTGCCTCGCTGGAAGACAACAGTTTGAAGATCCTGAAGCGTGCCAAAACATTGTTCTCGGGATTCAACTCCACGTATCAACCTGACTGCTGCGTCTTGACGATCCAGAATCGTGCCAGAACACACTTTTTATTTCATCACAGCGAATCAACAGAACTACTGTGCCCGCATAATCCTGAATCCTTCCAACACACAATTTCTGCTAGGCTGATCATGGGAAGCCCTGAAACTCTTGCACATTTTGAAAACGAATGTGCGCGGTGCTAAGGCGAGAGCCACATTTTGAAAACCACCCGCCCGCAATCCGTGACTCTCTTGCGAATTTTGAAAACGAATGTGCGCGGCGCTGAGGCGAGAAATACATGTTGGAAACCACTGGCCCTCGATCCGTGAAGCTCTTGGAAAGTTTGAAAATAATGTGCGCGGCGCTAAGGCGAGAGCCACATTTGAAAAACGACTGGCCCTCAACCCGCGAAACTCTTGCAACTTTTGAAAACGAATGTGCGCGGCGCTATGTAAGGCGAGAGCCACATTTTGAAAGCGGTCCGCCCTCTATCTGTGAATTTGTTGTCACTTTTTAAGCTTCAGGGTTATACATGGTGAGGAAGTCTCAGGCGAAGCGCCCGGCCCGCCCTAAAAACTGAATTCGGGGTGCGATAGGGAGGAGTTATCTATAAGGAGAAGGAATCTAGAATGCTGATATGGCTAATGATGGTGATGATGATGGTGGTGATGGTGATGGTGATGGTGACGGTGATGGTGATGGTGATGATGATGATGAGGATGAGGATGAGGAGGAGGAGGAGGATGCGGCGCTGGTGGGGAAGGGGAGCATGAGGATGGGGATTATGGTGATGCTGGTGATGATGGTGATGCTGTTGTTGATGATGATGATGATGATGATGATGATGATGATGGTGATGGGGATGGTGATGGTGACGGTGATGGTGATGATGATGATGAGGAGGAGGAGGAGGAGGAGGAAGCGGCGCTGGTGGGGAGGGGGAGCATGGGGATGGGCATTATGGTGATGCTGGTGATGATGGAGATGCTGTTGTTGATGATGATGATGATGATGATGATGATGATGATGATGGTGATGGTGATGATGCTGACGATGATGGTGATAATGATGGTGATGCTGCTGGTGATGCTGATGCGGCTGCTGCTGATGATAATGCTGATGCTTGTGCTGATGCTGATGCTTGTGCTGATGATGCTGCTGGTGATGGTGAAGATGCTGATGCTGATGCTGCGGATGGTGATGGTGATGCTGCGGCCTATGATGCGGTTGACGAGTATAATGATGGTGACGATGACAATGATGACGATGATGAGGATTCTGCTGATGAAGGTGATGCTGACGATGGTGATGATGCTGATGATAATGACGGTATAATGATGCTGATGAGGATGATGGTGCTGTTGATGATGATGATGATGATGATGATGATGATGATGATGATGATGATGATGGTGGCGATGCTATTGTTGATGCTGATGTTGATGCTGCTGATGATGGTGATGATGATGGTGTTGCTGCTGAAGATGGTGATGATCATGCTGCATCCTGATCCTGATGATGATGATGATGATGATGATGATGATGATGATGATGCTGTCGATGCTGGTGCTGACGCTGATGCTGCTGTTGTTGCTGCTGATGGTGATGTTGATCATGCTCATGATCATGGTACTGATCAGGCTGATGATGATGACGATGACGATGACGATGACGATGATGATGATGATGATGATGATGGTGGTGGTGGTGGTGGTGGTGGTGATGATGATGATGATGATGAGGATGAGGATGATGATGATGATGATGATGATGATGATGATGATGATGATGATGATGATGATGCTGATGCTGCTGATTATGATGCTGCTGCTGATACTGATGCTGATTATGATGAAGATGATGCTGCTGACGCTGCTGCTGATGATGGTGATGCTGATGATGATGCTTTCTACGACGATGCGGCTGATACTGGTGCTGATTGCTGCTGGCGAGAAGGAAGACAACAAGGAGGGAGGGATGTGATGAGGTGGAGGAGGGTGGGAGGTGCAGTAGACGGGAGAAGAAGGAGCCAGCATGAGGCGGAGGATGCGGATGAGGAGGGACAGGTGCTGATGTTGGTGGTGGTTGTGGCGGTAATGATGATTGTGGTGGTGGTGACGGTGGCAATGGCGATTGTGACGATGACATTGATGCTGGCGATACTGACACTGATGATGCGAATGATGATGACGATGACGATGCTGATGTTGGTGATGGTGGGGATGACGACGATGATGATGATGCTGATGCTGATGATGATGATGCTGAGTACGCGGATGAGGATGATGATGTTGACGATGATGCTGTTGCTGATGCTGATGCTGGTGGTGGTGGTGGTCATGCTGAGTAGTTATGGTTATGGCTATGGTGGCGGTGAGGGTGAAGGTACTGACTACGATTATGTGTATACTGGTGATGCGGTTGATGACGATGACGGAGCTCACAATGATGCGGAGGATGCTGATGAGGTGGACGATGATGTTGGTGATGATGATGATGAGTATGAGAAACATGTTCCTGCTGAAAAGGAGGATGATGAAACGGGGGATGAGAACGATGATGCTGATGCTGGTTCTGATGTTGGTGGTAATGATGATGTTGATGTTGATGATGCTGGTGAAGATGATGATGCTGCTGATGATGCTGTCGATAACGATAAAGACGATGATGATGCTGATGGTGATGATGATGCTGACGATGATGCTGCTGATGATGATGATGATGATGCTGACGATGATGCTGACGATGATGATACTGGTGATGATGGTGATGATGATGATGATGCTGCTGCCGATGCTGTTGCCGATGATGATGATGGTGATGATGATGATGAGGATGAGGATGAGGATGAGGATGCGGATGCTGGTGATGCTGATGATGATTTGTCATGGTGATGCTGACGGCGATGGTGATGGTGGTGATGATAGTGCTGATGATGGTGCTGCTGATGACGATGATGATGACGATGCTGATGATGCTGATGATGCTGATGCTGATGACGATGCTGCTGATGATGGTGATGATGCTGATGCTGATTATGATGCTGATGACGATGCTGATGATGAGCATGATGTTGCTGATGCTGATGAGGAGGAAGAGGAGGATGAGGATACTCAGGATGAGGATGAGGGTGATGATGTTGAGGATGAGGATGAGGGTGAGGGTGATGAGGATGAGGATGAGGATGAGGATGAGGCTGATGCTGCTGCTGCTGCTGATGATGATGATGATGATGATGATGATGATGATGACGATGATGATGATGATGATGATGCTGATGATTGATGGTGGCGAGGAGGAGATGGACGATGAGGAGGAGCAGGCGGAGGAGGAGGCGGAGGAGGAGGAGCAGTGTAATGCGTGGACGGATACGATGAGGGGGAAGCGAAGGGAGGGTTGGTGGGAGGGGGTCCGAGGGAGGGAGGAAGGGAGAGAAAGAGGGAGGGAAGGAGGATGAGTGAATATGAGGAGCGAGGAAGGGAGGGAGGGAGGGAGGGTGATGAATAGGACGAGAAGGAGTAGAAGTAGGAGTAGGAGTAGGAGGAGGAGGAGGAGGAGGAGGATGAGGAGGAGGAGAAGGAGGAGGGCGGGACAGAGGAGAAGTGATAATGACAACGACGACGAGGAGGACAAGGAGGAGGAGTAGGAGGAGGAGGAGACGCGGGAAGGGGTAGACGGGAGGGTCAGGAGTGCGAGGAGCAGGGAAGACAGGAGAGGCGGGTGGATGCTGCGAGGGGAGAACATGGGGGAGGAGGAGGAGGAGGAGGAGGAGGAGGAGGAGGAGGAGGCGGAGGAGGCGGAGGCGGAGGAGGAGGCGGAGGGGGTTTTGGGGGGCGGCGTGTGCGCGGTACGATCCCTCCCCCCTGCGTACACCCGTGCCCATGTCACATGTACGTCTACCGCAGCCCCGCGGCCCGAAGCGCCCCCTTCCCCCCACTGGGGGGGAGATGCTCGGAGCGGTCGCCCACCGTGGCGTTGACCTTTCCCTCGGCGTTGGAGGTCGGGGTGCGCGGCCAGCAGCGGGGGGCGCCCGAAGCGCAGGCGGCCCGCGTCCGTGCCGACGAGATGATGGGCAGAGTGCGGAACTCCATCGAGCGGTCGGGGTGCCAGCCAGCGGACCTCTTCACGAAGATGGACACCGACGGCGATCGGCTTACGCCTCGTGCTCTCTCTCTCTCTCTCGCTCTCCCCCTGCAGGCGGATACTGGGTCGACCCTGTAAGTGCCCCGTCGTCCAAGGGTCGAGGAGTTGGCTCCTCCTCCTCGGCGGCAGCCTGCGGAAAGGCCCGCGGAGGAAATCCCGGCGGAAGCCGAAGTTGCCTCCCTCCCAGTGGTGTCAACTGATTGGGGTCCAGGGCTTCCAGAGCGGGCAGACCTAGTGCCACTTGGACGTCGTCACGTTTGAAACCTCTCTTGGGAGTAAGTCGCGGTGGAGGTTCCAGGCGCCAGGAGGCTCATAGTTACGCTGACAGGTCATTTCTTGTACGCCGAGTCCCGCAGGTGTTGTTCATCAGAGCGCCGGCACAGGAGCGCCCATACTCTGACGTATTGCGTGTCGCGCGAGGTCGGTGGGGATGATCCACGGCTGCTCCGCTCTCGGACATTCACGGGCCAAGGATGCATCAGAGTTTGGCTTGGCCATCTGCTGGTTCTAGTCGCGGGGCTCCCAAATTGAGGGTAATTCGTACCTCTCACCCCAAGCTTTGCGTAGCAGCACGGGCATTCCTTTTCAGTACGTGGATCGCTTCTGGTCTATCCCCCCACGCTTTGTTGAGCTGCCAGACTCGAGCGTCGCCGACAGACCCACGGACATTATCCCATGTCGTGCGCGTTCGGAAACCTGACATCCTAGATTACCGAGAGGAGGAGGAAACGGCGAATCACCGCCGCCCCCTGCCTTTTTGGAAGCGCCTATGTGGCCAAACGTTGAGGCCAGACCTGCCAAGCTATCGGACCATGTGTTCCCCGAATCGGTTTGGAAAGCCTTCGGGGAACACGTGGGCATCTTGAAGGTCATCTTGGCCGTCTGGAAGTCATTTTGACCCTTTCGGGCCTTCTTGAAGGACGTCTTGGAGGGCTCTTGGGCCGTCTTGGAGGCCATCTTGAGCGTCTTGGAGACCTCTTGGGCCGTATTGGGGGCCTCTTGGGGCCGTGTCTTGGGCCTCTTGGGCGATCTTTGGGGGCACGTGGGCCATCTCGAGCCGTCGGAAGGCCGAAAACAAGCAAATGCCACAATCCTTCAAAAACCTCAGGAAATCAATGATTTTGGCCGTTTCGGGCCTTCCTGGAGGCCCTCTTGGAAGCCTCTTGGGCCGTCTTAGGCCATCTTAGGGCCATGTTCGGCCGTCTTGGTGGGCTCCTGGTCCGTCTGACGCCGTCGGAAGCCGTTTTGGAGGCCTCTATGGGCCGACTTAGGGCCCTCTTGGAATGCTCCAGGGCCGTCTTGGAGGCCATCTTGGGCGTCTTGGAGGCCTCTTGGGGCCGTCTTGGGGCCCTCTTGGGCCGTTCTGGGGCCATCTTGGAGGCCTCTTGGGCGATCTTTGGGAGCTCTTGGGCCGTCTCGGGCCGTCGGAAGGCCGAAAAGAAGGAAATGCCACAATCCGTCAAAAACCTTTTCTGGAAAATCAATGATTTGGGCGTCTTCGGGCCTCCCTGGAGGTCCTCTTGGGGGCCTCTTGGGCCGTCTTGGGCCAGCTTCGAGCCAACTTCGGCCATCCTGGTGGGTTCCTGGCACGTCTGACGCCGTCGGGAGTCGTCTTGGGGGCCTTTCTGGGCCGACTTGGGGCCCTCTTGGGGCGCTTCGGGGCCGTCTTGGAGGCCATCTTGGGCGTCTTGGAGGCCATCGTGGGCGTCTTGGAGGCCTCTTGGGCCGACTTCGGGCCCTCTTGGGGCCGTCGTGGGAGCCTCTTGGGCCGTCATGGGGCCATCTTGGCCTCTTGGGCGATCTTGGGGGCCTCTTGGGCCGTCTTGGGCCGTCGGAAAGCCGAAAAGGCGCAAATGCCAAAATCTGTCAAAAACCCAACGGAAATCAACGATTTTGGCCTCTTTGGGCCTTCCTGGAGGACCTCTTGGAGGCCTCTTGGGCCGTCTTGGAGGCCTCTTGGGCCGTCTTGGGCCATCTTGAGGCTATCTTAGGCCGTCTTGGGTGCCTCTTGGACCGTCTTGGAGGCATCTTGGGGCCATCTTAGCCGTCTCGGAGGGCATCTTGGCCGTCGTGGAGGCATCCTGGAGGCCATCTTGGGCCATCTTGGAGCCGTCTGGAACGGAACACCCCTTTGCAACCACCTCTGGAAGATCTTTCGGCATCCTCCCGGGACCCTGGCGGGACGCGCCGGAGCCCTTTGGGAGAGTTCTTTTGGAAAAGAACCAAAACCAAAACCGTAAGAAGTTCAGCACGCCAGGCACCCCTGTGATGAATCAACAGGGGGCGGCGGATCGAAGACGCCTACGGCGAATCACCGCCGCCCCCTGCCTTTTTGGAAGCGCCTATGTGGCCGAACGTTGAGGCCAGACCTGCCAAGCTATCGGACCACGTGTTCCCCGAATCGGTTTGGAAAGCCTTCGGGGAACACGTGGGCATCTTGAAGGTCATCTTGGCCGTCTTGGAGGCCTCTTGGGCAAGCTTTGGGCGATCTTTGGGGCTTTTTGGGCCGTCTCGGGCCAGCTTCGAGCCAACTTCGGCCATCTTGGTGGGTTCCTGGCACGTCTGAAGCCGTCGGAAGCCGTTTGGGGGGCCTCTATGGGCCGACTTGGGGCCCGCTTGGAATGCTCCAGGGCCGTCTTGGAGGCCATCTTGGGCGTCTGGGAGGCCATCTTGGGCGTGTTGGAGGCCTCTTGGGCCCTCTTGGGGCCCTCTAGGGGCCATCTTGGAGGCCACTTGGGCCATCATGGGGCTCTCTTGGGGGCCTCTTGGGCGATCTTGGGGGCTTCTTGGGCCGTCTTGAGCCGTCGGAGAGCCGAAAAGGCGCAAATGCCAAAATCCTTCAAAAACCAAGGAAAATCAATGATTTTGGCCTCTTCGGACTCTCCTGGAGGACCTCTTGGAGGCCTCTTGGGCCGTCTGGGAGGCCTCTGGGGGGCCTCTTGGGCCGTCTTGGGCCGTCTGGACTCTCTTGGGCCGTCTTGGAGGCCGTCTTGCACCATCTCGGGCGGACTTGGAGGCCATCTTTGGCCATCTTCGCGATTTTTTGAGGATGTCCCGAGCGAAACGGCCGTTTTTTTTTGGGCATTGACAGACGGATTTTCGGCAATTTACGGGTGGCCGGCGGGACGGGCCGAAGCCCACTGGGGAGTTCTTTTAGAAAAAGAACCAAAACCAAAACCTGAAATATCCAGCACGCCGTGCACCCCTGTCTTAGCCGTCTCGGAGGGCATCTTGGCCGTCGTGGAGGCATCCTGGAGGCCATCTTGGGCCATCTTGGAGCCGTCTGGAACGGAACACCCCTTTGCAACCACCTCTGGAAGATCTTTCGGCATCCTCCCGGGACCCCGGCGGGACGCGCCGGAGCCCTTTGGGAGAGTTCTTTTGGAAAAGAACCAAAACCAAAACCGTAAGAAGTTCAGCACGCCAGGCACCCCTGTGATGAATCAACAGGGGGCGGCGGATCGAAGACGCCTACGGCGAATCACCGCCGCCCCCTGCCTTTTTGGAAGCGCCTATGTGGCCGAACGTTGAGGCCAGACCTGCCAAGCTATCGGACCACGTGTTCCCCGAATCGGTTTGGAAAGCCTTCGGGGAACACGTGGGCATCTTGAAGGTCATCTTGGCCGTCTTGGAGGCCTCTTGGGCAAGCTTTGGGCGATCTTTGGGGCTTTTTGGGCCGTCTCGGGCCAGCTTCGAGCCAACTTCGGCCATCTTGGTGGGTTCCTGGCACGTCTGAAGCCGTCGGAAGCCGTTTGGGGGGCCTCTATGGGCCGACTTGGGGCCCGCTTGGAATGCTCCAGGGCCGTCTTGGAGGCCATCTTGGGCGTCTTGGAGGCCATCTTGGGCGTGTTGGAGGCCTCTTGGGCCCTCTTGGGGCCCTCTAGGGGCCATCTTGGAGGCCACTTGGGCCATCATGGGGCTCTCTTGGGGGCCTCTTGGGCGATCTTGGGGGCTTCTTGGGCCGTCTTGAGCCGTCGGAGAGCCGAAAAGGCGCAAATGCCAAAATCCTTCAAAAACCAAGGGAAAATCAATGATTTTGGCCTCTTCGGACTCTCCTGGAGGACCTCTTGGAGGCCTCTTGGGCCGTCTGGGAGGCCTCTGGGGGGCCTCTTGGGCCGTCTTGGGCCGTCTTGGACTCTCTTGGGCCGTTTTGGAGGCCGTCTTGGACCATCTCGGGCGGACTTGGAGGCCATCTTGGGCCATCTTCGCGATTTTTTGAGGATGTCCCGAGCGAAACGGCCGTTTTTGGGCATTGAGAGATGGGTTTTCCGCAATTTGCGGGTGGCCGGCGGGACGGGCCGAAGCCCACTGGGTAGTTCTTTTAGAAAAAGAACCAAAACCAAAACCTGAATCATCCAGCACGCCGTGCACCCCTGCAAGCAGGGGGCGGCGGATCGAAGACGCCTACGGCGAATCACCGCCGCCCCCTGCCTTTTTGGAAGCGCCTATGTGGCCGAACGTTGAGGCCAGACCTGCCAAGCTATCGGACCACGTGTTCCCCGAATCGGTTTGGAAAGCCTTCGGGGAACACGTGGGCATCTTGAAAGGTCATCTTGGCCGTCTGGAGGCCATTTTGACCCTTTCGGGCCTTCTTGGAGGACGTCTTGGAGGGCTCTTGGACCGTCTTGGAGGCCATCTTGAGCGTCTTGGAGACCTCTTGGGCCGTCTTGGGGGCCTCTTGGGGCCGTGTCTTGGGCCTCTTGGGCGATCTTTGGGGGCACTTGGGCCGTCTCGGGCCGTCGGAAGGCAGAACAAAAAGCAAATGCCACAATCCTTCAAAAACCAATGGGAAATCAATGATTGTGGCCTTTTCGGGCCTTCCTGGGGGCCCTCTTGGAGGCCTCTTGGGCCGTCTTGGGCCATCTTAGGGCCATGTTCGGCCGTCTTGGTGGGCTCCTGGTCCGTCTGACGCCGTCGGAAGCATTTGGGGGGCCTCTCTGGGCCGACTTGGGGCCCTCTTGGACTGCTCCAGGGCCGTCTTGGAGGCCATCTTGGGCGTCTTAAAGGCCTCCTGTGCCGTCTTGGGGGCCTCTTGGGGCCGTCTTGGGGCCCTCTTGGGCCGTTCTGGGGCCATCTTGGAGGCCTCTTTGGCGATCTTTCGGCGATCTTTGGGGGCTCTTGGGTCGTCTCGGGCCGACGGAAAGCCGAAAAGAAGGAAATGTCAAATCCGTCAAATACCTTGGGAAAATCAATGTTTTTGGCCTCTTCTGGCCTTCCTGGAGGCCTTCTTGGGGGCCTCTTGGGCCGTCTTGGGCCAACTTTGAGCCATCTTCGGCCATCTTGGTGGGTTCCTGGCACGTCTGACGCCGTCGGGAGCCGTCTTGGGGGCCTTTCTGGGCCGACTTGGGGCCCTCTTGGGGCGCTTCGGGGCCGTCTTGGAGGCCATCTTGGGCGTCTTGGAGGCCTCTTGGGCCGTCTTGAGGCCCTCTTGGGGCCTTCTTGGGGGCCTCTTGGGCCGTCATGGGGCCATCTTGGAGGCCTCTTGGGTGCTGTTGGGGCGATGTTGGGGACCTCTTGGGCCGTCTTGGGCCGTCGGAGAGCTGAAAAGAAGAACATGCCAAAATCCTTCAAAAACCTAAGGAAATCAATGATTTTAACCTATTCGGGCCTTCCTGGAGGGCGTCTTGGAGGGCTCTTGGGCCGTCTTGGAGGCCTTTTGCGGGCCTTTTGGGCCGTCTTAGACCATCTTGAGGCCATCTTGGGCCGTCTTGGGTGCATCTTGGAGCCATCTTACCCGTCTTGGAGGCCATCTTGGCCGTCTTGGAAGCATCTTGGAGGCCATCTTGGGCCATCTTGGCCGTCTTGGAGGCCATCTTGGGCCAAGTTGGGGCAACAAAGGCATTGACAGATGGATTTTCGGAAACTTGCGGGTGGCCGGCGGGACGGGCCGAAGCCCACTGGGGAGTTCTTTTAGAAAAAGAACCAACACCAAAACCTGAAACATCCAGCACGCCGTGCACCCCTGCAAGCAGGACCACAGGGGGCGGCGGATTCTAGTGGCCTTCGGCCCATCCCGCCACCGTACCTGGAGTGTGGGTCTGAGGCCTCTTGTATATGTGTTGGGGTGTCGTGGGGAGCTTCTGGGGGGCCTCTTGGAGGCGGTTTGGGCACCTCTTGCGGGCCTCGTGGGGTATCTTTTGAGCTTCTTTGAGGCCTCTTGGGCGCGTCTTGGGCGCCTCTTGGCGCCTTTTATAGGAGATCGTGGCTTCGGGGGCGCGAATGTGGTGCAATTTACGCTGGATCGTCGGGGGCGCGAACGTGGCGTAATTTACACGAGATGGTGGCCTCGGGGGCGCGAACGTGGCGTAATTTACTCGGTATCGTGGCCTCGGGGGCGCGAACCTGGCGTATTTTACTCCGTATCGTGGCCTCGGGGGCGCGACTGTGGCGTAATTTACGAGCCAGAGGCGAGAATGTGGTATAATTTTGGGGTGATCGTGACTCCGGGAGCGTGCGTATATGTGTATTTAACTAGGGATCGTGGCTTCGGGGACGCGAACACAGCATAATTTGCAAAGGATCGTGGCCTCGGAGGCGCGAACACAGTGTAATTTACGAGGGATCATTGCGTCGGGAGCACGAAACTCAGGTATTTTTACGTGTCCCACTGCCCCCCAGAAATTCAGAGCACGCGATTCGGGGACGCTAGCCAGGGTGGTTTCTGGCTCCCCCCCTCGCGTGGACAGTAACAATTGACAGTAAAGAAGCAGAAAGCAAAATTGTAGCATTGGAAACTGGAAGCTGGGACTGGTGCAGGGAGCAGCGAACTCAGTCCTCGCAGCCTGATGGCCCCGCAAGGGGGCCGGCGGATCTGCTTGTGCTTGCGAACAGACGCCCATACAAACGCAGCGTTGCGAAACAGACCTACAACGATCAAACAGGAGCGCAGATGGAAACTATAACTTAAAAATCTGCAACGTGACGTTGTAAATTGTCAAAAAACTAAAAGATTGCGTTTGTGGCGGAAACTTGGAAACGGTATAGAGATGGCAGTGGGAAGTCATGACATATTTAGCTTGAATGTGGAAGCTGCAAATTATCTCTCATCTGCACGCGTGCCATTCAATTTGTATCTCCTAAGCCCTCGATGTCCGCCCTCTTTGTCTTCGAACGTGTCCTTTGTGGGTCGAATATATTCCTAACCTGCTACGCGTAGTTGGCGCAGCCCCTAAAACAGGACGGGGAAAAGGCAAAAAGGGAAAGAGCGAGGAGGAACATGGTGGAAGGTAGGAAGGAGGGAAGGGACAAGAGGGAGGGAGGAGGATGGAGGACGAGCGCGACTAGCAGGAAGTGGGTGTATATAGACTTAGAAAGAGAGAGAGAGAGAGAGAGAGAGAGAGAGAGAGAGAGAGAAAGAGAGAGAGAGAGAGAAATAAACAACACCCCAACAAAAAGAAAGGGAGAGCGAGAAAAAGAGAGAGAGAGAGAGGAGCAGGACAACGAAACGTTGACCCCGGCGGACGGTCGGGCGGGCGCGGCGGGCGGACCCCAACGGGCGGGCCAGGAAGACGGGGCACGACAGCGGCAGCGAGTGGCGACGGCGGGCCCCAGCGGCTGGGTCGGGCGGGCGGGTCGTTACCTGGCAGCGCTCGGACGTGTGCATTTTTCCTTCGGCGAGGACCATCGAGGAGCATCCTTGATCATTTGGCGAAAAAGCCACGCACGAAACCGAAAAAAAACACAGGGAATGGACGTCCGAGCGATGGCCAGGTTGGACTCCTGCGTGAGTCGTAGGGAAATCTTAGTCGAGATCGGGACTCCTTGGTAAACTAAGAGGACATCCCGAGCGAGAGCGCCGTTCTCGGGATTTCCTCCCAGGTAGGCTGCAAGGAGGTCCAGCGCGAGAGCGCAGCTGTTTGATACATGGCAAGGGCCGTCGTGAGCAAGTCGTCCGGAAGTCTCTCGCGTGGGACAGCTTCACACAGCATACAAGAATCGCGCTCTCGCGTAGGTTTTCTTTGCAATTCATTGAGGCGCCGCGCCCACAGTAGTCAGGAATCACGCTCTCGCTCTGGACTTCCTCACAGTCGCGCTATCTCTCGAGACTTCCTCGCGACTCATGCAGGACTGACGCTTCAGCGACCCGCCCGTTCGACCCAGCCGTCCGGGCCCACCCGCCAGACCCGTATGTTAGGGTCCGCCCGCCCGACCCGCCCGTCTGGTTCTGCCCGTTGTCGCTACTATGCTCCTTACCCCCTCCTAATCTCTTTCGTGCTCCATCCTTCTCTCTCCCCGTTGTCGCTTCCCTTTTTTTTCCCTGGTTTAGGGGCTGCGTCAACTACACGTGGCAGGTAAGGAAGATATGCCCCCAAGAGGGGTACGATCGAATACGAATATGGTTGGGCATTTACATGTTGAAGGACACGCGAGCAGATAGGAACGAACGGTCTGAAAACGTTTGCTGTTGTAAACTGGGGCCTGGGACCCAGTCTGAAGCGCATGACTTTCCCTTCTACAAAAACAGGGGGCCAGCCCCGGGAGGGACACTTACTTCAATGGACAACCATCAGGTGCATTGGAAGGGGGAGCAACAATACATTTTCTTCACCAATGAGAGCTCAACACCACAACGACAAACAACATATAAGTGCATGACTTGCTATATACAGAGAAAAAGTCAGACATGGAGAGAGAGAGAGAGAGACAGAGAGAAATAGAGAGACAGAGAGAGAGAGAGAGAGAAAGAGAGAGAGAGAGAGCAAGCAAGCAAGCAAGCAAGCAAGCAAGCAAGCAAGCAAGCAAGCAAGCAAGCAAACGCAGCAAGCAAGCAAGCGCAGCAAGCAGGCAAGCAGGCAAGCGGTAAGCGTTCGTGAAATATTAGTGGGCCACTCGGTCGCAGAACGCGAAGGTCCATGATGGCTGGCCGCTGGTCCCGATCGGCCCAGGATCGAGCTGGGGGGGGCCTGTCCGGGGAGTCCGGCTCAGGCAACGGGAAACTGTCGGTGAAAGAGCTTGCGGACGTGCTGTGCAAAATGGAGCCGGACCTCAAGAGCGCGGACCTCCAGGAGCTCCTCACGCTCCTCCTCGCACTCCTCCTCGCCTCCCGCCTCGACATCCCGCGCCCCTCACAGCGCAGCGACACACCCACCCAGCTCGTTCTGGCGCTCCAGCGAACCCGCGTGCAGCCACGCTTGGGAGGAGGAAGAGGAGGAGGTGGAGGAGGAGGAGGAAGAGGAGGAGGAGGAGGAAGAGGAGGAGGAGGAGGAGCAGGTGGAGGAGGAGGAGGAGGAGGAGGAGGAGGAGGAAAAGCTCGCGCTGGCGGAACCGCCTAAGGCGTGGCCCCTCCCTGGCATCCCAGGTGTCGCTCGCAGGGGCGCGCAGGCCGATCGTGCCTCGCGCTTCGCTGCCCGGGCTGGAGAGCCGCCCTTCCCCAGGGGGGGCAGCGAGAGAGCGCGACGAATGACTGCGCTCTGCGCGTCGCGCGGTGAGCGTGAGGCGTCGTCGGCCCCCCCCCTTCCCTTTGGGACGGAGGGGGGGGAGGAGGAGGAGGAGGAGGAGGAGGAGGAGGAGGAGGGAGGAGGAGGAGGAGAGGAGGAGAGAAGGAGGAGGAGGAGGAGGAGGAGGAGGAGGAGGAGGAGGAGGAGGAGAAGCGCGAGGTCGGGTGACCCAGCAATCGTCAGCGAGAGGCCCCCCCGCGCTCCGCTGAGCACCCAGGGCCGCAGAGCTCTCCGCTGCCCGCAGGAGGTCTTCGGAAGGTTCGACGTCAACGGTGACGGAGAGGTGGAGTTGCACGAGTTCCTCCAGGCGCTGCAGAACCCCAACTCTCAGGCCAGCAGCGACCGCGCCAAGAGCGTGGTTACCAGGCTACGGGCCGTTCAAGAAAACTCAGCCAAGCCTAGGGTAAGGATGGATCGCGCTGGAGCGCTCCAGAGCGCCATCAAAACGTTCCGGAGCTCTCTGGAACGATTAATTGCGGCACCCGATACGTCATCCAGGCCCGCCAGCAATCAGAGGTTCCAGGTGTAGCTCTGCCCGATCTGTTCTTACTCAAGCGACTTACGCCCCACTGACCCTGGAAGAGGAGATGTGCGGCTTCCGATGTCGCACGCGCGTCTTGCCGTTTCCTGCCGTGCTGCTTGCATACAGTTGTTGCTGATTCGGCCTCCTCTTCCTTCGCGCCTGTTGCGGGGCTTCTTGGGGGCCTTCCGAGGCCCAGGCGGCCCCTCGAGGCCTCCCCGGGGCTCCCGAGGGCCCTCCGCCAGCGGCGTCTTCGGAGCGCGCCCGTCGCAGGGCCTCGGCCGCCACCGGGCGCGCGGGGCGAGGGGGCGGAGGCCCCCGGCCGTGGGGGCGGGCGGGGCCGAGCCGGGCGAGGCCGGCGCGGCAGGCAGGCAGGCCCCCGCGCCCGCGCCCGGGCAGCTCGGCACCGCCCCGCCCGCCCCCCCCGCAGGGTCGCCGCCGCCGTGGGCCGCACGGGCTGCTCGTCGGAGGAGCTGTTCAGGAGCCGCGGGGGCTCCGGGGGAGGTGGGGGGGCGAGGCGGGCGGGGGGGAGTCCCGTCCGGCCTGGCGCCGCCTGCCCCCGGCCCCCCCCCCCCTCCCCCTCCACCCTGCCCGCGCGGCCTGGCTGCCCCGCCCGAGGGGAGAGAGGGGAGGGCGGGGGAGGAGGAGACGGAGGAGGCGGAGGCGGAGGCGGAGGAGGCGGAGGCGGCGGAGGCGGAGGAGGTGGAGGAGGCGGGGGAGGAGGAGACGGAGGAGACGGAGGCGGAGGCGGAGGAGGCGGAGGAGGCGGAGGAGGAGGAGGCGGAGGCGGCGGAGGCGGAGGAGGAGGCGGAGGAGGACGAGGAGGAGGAGGAGGAGGAGGAGGAACACCGCTACTGAGGCCTTCGATGGGGCTCCCTGTGGGGCCACGAAGCGTTGTCCTGGGTGGGGGAGACGCATGCGAACACCGCCACTGGTGCCGTATGTGGAGCTCGATGTGGGGCCGCGAAGCGCTGTTCTGGATGGGGACACGCATGCAAGCACCGCCACTGGGGCCGCAGGTGGAGCTCCTTGTGGGGCCACGAAGCGCTGTCATGGGTGGGGGAGACGCATGCGAACACCGCCACTGGTGCCGTATTTGGAGCTCGATGTGGGGCCGCGAAACGTTGTTCTGGGTGGGGGACACGCGTGCGAACACCGCCATTGGGGCCTTAAGTGGAGCTCCCTGTGGGGCCACGAAGCGTTGTCCTGGGTGGGGAAACGCATGCGAACACCGCCACTGGGACCTTAAGTGGAGCTCCCTGTGGAGCCACGAAGCGCTGTCCTGGGTGGGGGAGACGCATGCGAACACCGCCACTGGGACCTTAAGTGGAGCTCCCTGTGGTGCCACGAAACGCTGTACTGGGTGGGGGAGACGCATGCGAACACCGCCACTGGGGCCTTAGATGGAGCTCCCTATGAGGCCACGAAACGCTGTGCTGGGCGGGGGGGACGCATGCCAACACCGCCACTGGAGCCTTAGGTGGGGCTCCCTATGGGGCCACGAAGCGGGGTGCTGGGTGGGGGAGACGCATGCGAACACCGCCACTGGGGCCTTAGGTGGAGCTCTCTATGGGGCCAGCGAAACGCTGTCCTGGGTGGGGTAAACGCATGCGAACACCGTCACTAGGGCCTTAGGTGGGGCTCCCTATGGGGCCGCGAAGCCTTGTCCTGGGTGGGGGAGACGCATGCGAACACCGCCATTGAGACCTTCGATGGAGCTCCCTGTGGGGCCACGAAACATGTCAGGGATGTGGCGATGATGGTGACGATAACGGTGGTGATCATGTCGTCGATGATGATGATGATGATGATGATGATGATGATGATGATGATGATGATGATGATGATGATGATGATGATGATGATGATGATGCTGATGCTGATGCTGATGCTGCTGCTGCTGCTGATGATGATGATGATGATGATGATTAGGATGATGATGATGATGATGATGATGATGATGATGGTGGTGGTGGTGGTGGTGATGATGATGATGATGATGATGATGATGACGATGACATGGCGATGACGATGATGATGATGAGGAGGAGTAGGAGGAGGAGGATGAGGATGAGGATGATGAGGATGAGGATGAGGATGAGGATGAGGATGATGATGCTGATGATGATGATGATGAGGATGAGGATGAGGATGAGGATGATAATGACGATGATGCTGATGATGATGATGATGATGATGATGATGAGGAGGAGGAGGAGGAGGAGGAGGAGGAGGAGGAGGAGGAGGAGGAGGATGATGATGATGATGATGACGACGACGACGACGACGACGAGGACATGCGCAGGGCAGAGGCAGGGATGGGAGGAGGGAGGATGGGGAGGAGGAAGGAAACAAGGAAGGAAGGAAGGAACGCGGGGACCGTCTTTTCAAAACGAGGACCGAACACCAAAGGATGGTTGGGAATGCTTGGGCCTGATCCGTTCTCTGCCGATTCTTCGGGCTCCTGGGACGCTCCCCGTGGCCCCAGGGCCGTCCGAAGACTGCTCGGAAGGAGCTGGCCCTGGAGCCAGGCCCCTGGGGAAGCCAGGACCCCATCGGGCCTGCCCGCAGGAAACTGGACGCCGACGGCGACGGCAAGCTCTCGGTGCTGGAGCTGGGGAAGATGCTGTGCGGCCTGCAGCCGGACCCCCGCCGTGTGCCCGGCGCCCCCCCCCCCGGCGCGCCGTGCGCCCGCCCCATCGGGTGTCGGGGGCGCCCGAGGTCGGAGTCCAGCAACAGGCACGTGTGCGGTCGGCTTTTGCTCCGGCCGCCTAAGGCCCCGCCTTCCTGTGCCCTGTCTCCCTAGTGAAAGCTGTGCGTCGCCCGCCCAGCTTTCAGCGGAAGAGGTTCGCTCTCGCCCCGCAGGCCAAAAAAGTGCGCGGTCGGCTTCCGCGGGCCTGCGGTGGAGCGTGGCCGGCCGGGCTCGCGGGGCCGCGGACGGCGTATACGTGTGCGCAGGTCTCTGCTCGCTCACACGAGGGGTGTGAGGGCCGGGGAGGTGTGGCCTGCCATGGCGGGGGCCATGAATTCTCCCAGATTTTTTGGCCCCTTCCTCTTGTTCGTCTTTTTCTTCTTCTTCTTCTTCTTATTATTATTATCCTTCTTATTTTTCTTTTCGTCAATATTAATATCATTAGTTGTTCTTCGTTTTAGTCCTAGTAGTGTGTTATCTTTATTGTTAGTGTATGTTCCTTGTTACTGCTTATTACGAGTGTTCGTAGTATCCTTCTTCTGGTTAATATTACGATTGCTCATCTGCCGTAAGCACTGTTGTCTTTATGGCTACTCGTGCTGTTGTTAGCCGTGTCCGTCTTATTACTAGTAGTATGATTAATATGATTCGTTGTGTTAGCATTGTTTGATTATTACTGGTATAATACGCAGTATTATGATTGTTATTATTGCCATAGCCCATGCCATTATTATTAGTAGTATTTTGACGTGCATGATTATCAGTTTCATCAGTAGAATTCTATTCGTATGGAAAACGTCGTTATTGTCTTCCCAGTACGTCACTGCCAGCGGCCCCCCCCAGGGCCGCGCACATGCATCGGGCCATGATGCGTTGACTCCTCTTCGGCGCTCTGGGTCGCCGCGAGGTTCGAGAGAGCCAGGTTCGCTAGCATGCCGTGGCGCGTCGAGGCTGGTGCACACAAGACGTGACATTCGTCTTTCCTCCAGGGGGCACTTCGCTCCGAACCACGTGGCTATAGGGGCCTCGATCGTCACTAAGAAGGTCTGGTCTGCTGGTTGTCATGGGAGCACGCACAAGAAAGGCTCGAGAGTTTTTGGTCCTATCAGGCGTGCCTCGGCGACGACTTGGACGCAGCTCGAAAAACTGGTCAGGATGTGCCTTGGGCAGGGAGAGAGGAAAGGACACGGTTTGAGAACCGTGGCTCGAGGGCTGAAGTTTTGGGTCGTTGCTGGCCCCACTTGGGCCCCTGAAGGGCCTCGCGTCGCCACCGCTGGACTCCCCTCGAGGCTCTCGCCCAGCCAAGTTCGAGGGGGACACTTCTTCAACCCGCGGGCGTGGAGGAGCAGGGGTCCTGGATCGCAGGCCTCGAGATTGACACCAACACCAATATCGGCGGTGTGCATCCGCCGAGGGAGGAAGATCCCGATCTCGGCGATGGTGGTAATATTCTGGCTTCCAAGGTGGCCGAAGTATTGCCACCAACACCGAAATCGAGGATCGTCTTCCCCCTGTGGAGGCAGCCCCTTGTGTTGGTGCTGGTGCCCATTTCTAGGCCTCCAACTGGAGGAAAGGCGTCCCTGGATGCTCTTCGGCTCCTTTTTGGGGGCCTTCCCTGGCACCGGGGCCCTCGAGCTGGGCCACCCGCCGGGGCGCGCAGACCATCGCGCTCCGCGCGGCGCGGTCTGGGCCGGAGCGGCTGCCCCTCTCCAGACCTGGGGGCGGCGCAAAGGGCGCGGAGGTGCTCGCGCGTGGCGCACCGCGGGGCGCGAGGGCCCGCAGCCTGGGTGGCTCCAGGGAGGAGGCCGGCCCCCAGGGGAAGGAAGGGCCCTGGGCCCAGGGCCCCCCCCCCTCCCCTCCTCCCCTCCTCCTCGTCCTCGTCCTCCTCCCCCTTCCTCCCTGGATGTGGTGACGTTTACCCGGCCGGCCAATCTACAGCCCTGCCGCGAGCGAGTCGTGTGTTGTGCGGTTATAGCCCCGTTGAGGGGAAGCGGATTTTACGCTCAATCGAAATTGTTTGGCCCCTGGACGCATCGGGTGCTGGGTTCGCTGGGGAGAAAAAAAAAAAGAACACATGGGCACGATGGCCAAACAGCAGTTCCTGTTCCTTTGAGCAGGACTCGCGGTCCGCGCCGCCGCGGGCGCTCTCTCTCTGAAGACAGAAAGCCGCCTGCCCAGCAGCAGCGGCTGTCGGTTTTGGGCAGCATTTGTGGTTGGGCATTGTGCCCGTTTTTTTCCGTAATTACCCACTTCGGGCTTCCAAAGCCCAGGGTTCGCCCCCCGCTCGCGCCAGCCAGGGCGGGGGGGGGGCGGGGGCGGAGGGGGGGGGGGGGGGCACAGCTCGACCTCGGGAGGCGTGCGCTCTGGAGGCCCCCGGGCCCCCTCCCCGGGCGTCGCCCGCGCGGGGGGGGCGCCGCGGCGGCGACCGCGCGCGCCGCACCCCGCCACCGCGAGGCCTCGTGGCCGCGAGGGCGTGGAAGGGCGCTCCTGGCGCGGCGGGCGGCGCCCAAACGCACGCGCGGGGCGCGCAGGCCCGGCGGTCCAGGAGGCCGAGGCCTCCGCGCCCGGCGAGGTCGGGGGTTCCAGGCGCGGGGGAGGGTGCGCCCAGAGGCAGTGGAGGCCCATGCCAAGAAGCACCCTGCTCGCCTCCGGGGTGCCCTGGGTTTTTCTTGGGTTGCGATGGTTTTGCTGTGGAGAGCGCGACGTGCCCACACCAAGAATCGATGGGCGCCCTGGGGTGTCAGGGTTGGGTTTCTTGTGGAAGTTTTCTTGTGAACTGGCCTCCAGTGTACACGCAAGAGCGACCTTTCTCCGGAGTGACCCCTGGTGCGGGCACACTGGGGTCCCCAGATGGCTGGAGTCGATCCGACGGCAACGCGTGGCGCGCTCGGGCTTGGCCCCCCGCGCCTCCCCAAAGCCGCGCACCAGAGGTCCTCTGGGACGGCTGGCGTTGGCATCGCTGTCAAGGCGGATTTCCACAAGCTGTCCTCACGCCGGGCCCACTTCGACATTATCTTTCCTGGCCGCGCGGCGGTTCCGCGCCTCGATGGGGATCGAGCCTCGCTGGATATTTACACGGTGTATTTCCACACGGCGGACTCCACGCCTGCCGAGGACGTCGTGGAGGCAGGTTATGACCCAGCCCATCATGTCCCCTCCAGATTCGAGCTCCGCGAGACGTTGCGGCATCGGCTGGCCCGCCACCCCTGTCTTCGCGAGGAGGCTTTGGGTATCCTTGGGGATGACTTTAATCACGTTCTCCGCCTTCCCGAGCGCGTGTGCATCTCCACGGGCGCGGCCGCTGGCCATCAAGACCACCGCGACGCCACCAGCTGGCTGGCGCACCCTGGTAGAGGTCCCCCACGGCATCCTTGAGCTCTACCAGCCGGAGCCCACGTGCGCGGCACCAGACACCAGGGCGCGGCTGGACCGCGCGCGTTGCAGCCAATTCGACGTCGAGTACATCGACAAGGCTTGCGTCTGCATTGCGTTGGCATGGCGCCCCGACGTGTCCAGCCACCGCCCACTTAGCTTCCGGAAGTGCCCTGCGCAGCCGCGCGCAGACCGACCCGCGCCCCTCGGGGGCCCAGCCCTGGGGCACCCAGACCTCCCTGGCAGGTCGCTCTACGCTGGCGGGAGCTCCTTCGCGACAGCCCTGACGCGCATGCCCTGATTCGGCTGCAGTTGCTGACGCAGGCGATGCGCCAGGCGGAGCTGGCCCTGGCTTCCCAGGCTGGTCCCCTCCCCCCGGCAGAGCAGCTGGACAACGGCAGTGGCGTTTGTATGAAGTTAATCAGGGCTTCGAAGGCCTGCAGTCTGGAACGTATCTCCCGATGCCTCGAGCGGCATCCGCTCCTGCGGGGTCTGGTCGCGAATCCTTGCGACTTCACGTTCCCGCTGGGTCCTCGGATTGCGCGGGCGCGTAGTCACGTGATGGACTTGCCGCGAGATTTCACCATGCATGAGCTGCACAAGTTGCGCGAGCATCTCCGCGAGCTGGAACCGGCCCAACCGGCGCGCCGATGGAGACGGAACCACCAGCTGGTACGCAAGCTCGCGCCGGGCCGCAGCTGCCAACGCTCCGCGCTGGACAAGCCGTCTGGGGAGGCGACGACGGACCCCCAGGAGGTGCCAAACACTCTCTGCGACCATGGGTCCGAGGTCTTCCGCCGCAAGGACACGAACAAGTCTCTCCTGGACATTTGATTGCAGGAAGATGCGCGGCACTTCCTGGCCGATTTCACCGACGATTTGTCCCACCTCGCGGCGCCGCGGCGCGCGCTCTGGCAGGCGATTCGCCAGCCGGGGACCTCCGCGCCAGGCTGGGATGGCATCTCCTTCAAGGCGTGGCGCAAGGTCGTGGACTTGGCCACCGACGCCTACAACGATGCGTTCGGGGCGGCGATCGCCCCCGCAGGGCTCGACATGGTCCCGGAGGCGTGGCGCGATTTCAATGGGAGTGTCATGATTTTCCTACCGAAGAAGCCCACTTCGACACGCGCTGGTGGCACTGCGGTCTACCTGGCAAGCAGCGTGCGGCCATTTCACCTTACCCCTTACCAGTGCCGACAACCGCATCTTCTGCAGCGCAGTGCGCTGGCACGCGGAGCCGCGGGTCGAAACGCAATTTCTGGCACGGCGCGGTTTCTTGAGCGGGCGGTCCATGCAGGCCAACGTCGTCGATATTCCAGGAGGAGATGATGGCAGACCTCGAGGACTTCCCCCTGGCAGTCGTCCTGGACTTCGAGGCGGCGTTCCCAAGCCTCGGCCGGACCTTCCTCCAGCGAGTCTTGTCGGAGCGGGGTTGGCCCCTTTGTTTCCAGCGCTTCGCGGCCATCCTCTGCACCGGCATTTTTTGCCAACTCTATTTCTGTGGATTTACAGGCGCTGGTGTTGGCATCGCCGCTGGGATTCGACAGGGATGCCCTCTATCTGCCCTACTGTTTGCCGTT